AATGTAAATAAGACCAAAATTTTACCTAAAAATATGTCTAGTCAGGAGAAGCAGATTTTGACTAACCTGACGGGTTTTGAGATTGTTAATAAGGTAAAATATTTGGGGGTGATGTTGTCTGTTTCTAATGTAAAATTATTTAAAAATAATTATGAAAGGTTGTGGGTCAGGGTACAGAAGGACTTGAAGAACTGGGAAAAGTTGCAATTATCCCTCATGGGAAGAATTGCAGTGATAAAAATGAATATTTTACCCAAGTTTCTTTTTCTGTTTCAAATGTTACCAATTTTGAAAAATGAGATTAATTTAAATGAGTGGCAGAAGGGTCTTAATAAATTTATCTGGGCAGGGAAAAAGCCAAGGGTTAAGTTTAAAATTATGCAAGACTTCCGTGAGAGGGGTGGACTTAAGGTACCAAATTTGAAATTATATTATGATGCGGTGGTTTTAACACTAATCAGTGATTGGGTAAATTTGACAAATTCTGAGATACTTTATCTAGAGGGATGGGATTTACTTTATGGGTGGCATGCCTATTTAATATTCAATAAAAAATGGATTGGGCTTTTAAATCTCATATCTTAAGAATTTCTTTACTTAGGATTTGGAGAAAATATTATAAAAGTGATTTCAAAGTACCATTATGGGCTATACCTTGCATGCGATAGAAGCAATAAAAAGAGGGGTTAAAATGGATATGGTGTCTTACAGACAGTTACTTAAATGGGATGGACAAAACTGGCAATTAAAATCACGGGAAGAGTTAGCACAAGAAAACTTTATTTATTCTTGGTTCCAATATAGGAAATTATTAGACAGATGGAAGATGGATTGTAAGGTGGGTTTTCTTAGAGAAGATGAAAATCTTATCAAGCAAGTGAAGGACTCAAGACAAACCCACATTAAGAGAGTTTATGCGGTTTTAGTTGAATTGGATTCAGAAACGGAACTAATTAAAGATTGTATGATAAGATGGGCGCAGAATTTTGGTGAGCCAGTCTCATTGGACACCTGGGAAAATATTTGGGTGAGAAATGTCAAATTTACACAAGCACAGACCTTAAGGGAGAATTTTTATAAAATGTTTTATAGATGGCACCTTGATCCACAAAAAATGTCTTATATGTACCCTGACGTGCAACCCAAATGTTGGAGATGTGGTTATAAGGAGGCTTCCTATTATCATATTTGGTGGTCATGCAGAGAGATAAAAGCATTTTGGATTAAAATATGGTGGAATATTCAGAGAATTTTTAGAAGGAGGGTAAAATTTACTCCGCAATTATTTTTGTTAGGTATTGTTAAAGATTGTGATACAAAGGAGGTTGTTTTGATGTTAAATTTGATTACAGCCGCTAGGCTGTTAGTAGGACAATATTGGAAGAAGGAATCTTTGCCTACATTGCAGGAATGGTTTCTTAAAGTAGCTTATCTGGCGGAAATGGCAAAGATTTCGGCTTTATTAAAGCAACAAACGCAAGAGAAGTTTCTTGCTGTTTGGGATAAATGGATAAAATTTATACAATTTAGATTGGGTATACAAAAATATTATATAGTTTTTTCATAAGTTTTATTTTCATATATATTATATATAATCTTTTTATATATATAAATATAAAGTTCTTAATTTAATTTTTATTTTTACTTCTTAAGCCTATATTCTGCTCTGGGAAGCTCAGGGGGGGGGGAAGGGAGGGGGGGGTTTGGGAGGGGTGGGGTTTTTTTTTTTTTTTATATATATGTATTGTTTAGTTTTATTTTTTTTGTATATGTTGTCTCTTGTTTTGTATTCTTTTTCTTTTTTGTAAAATTTATAAAACTTTTAATAAAAAAAAAAAAAAAAGAAGCAACAGTGAGAACCGAACACGGAACCACTGATTGGTTCAAAATTGGAAAAGGAGTCCGGCAAGGCTATATACTGTCGCCCTGCCTATTTAACTTATATGCAGAGCACATCATGAGAAAGGCAGGGCTAGATGAATCAAAAGTTGGAATTAAGATTGCCGGGAGAAATATCAACAACCTAAGATATGCAGATGATACCACTCTAATGGCAGAAAGTGAAGAGGAACTAAAGAGCCTCTTGATGCGGGTGAAGAAGGAGAGTGCAAAAGTTGGCTTGAAACTCAACATTAAGAAAACCAAAATCATGGCATCCGGCCCTCTCAATTCCTGGCAAATAGATGGGGAAGAAATGGAGGTAGTGACAGATTTTATTTTTCTGGGCTCAAAGATCACCTCAGATGGGGACTGCAGCCAAGAAATTAAAAGACGCTTGCTCCTGGGGAGGAAAGCTATGGCAAATCTAGACAGCATTCTAAAAAGCAGAGACATCACCCTGCCAACAAAAGTGCGTATAGTCCAGGCCATGGTTTTCCCAGTTGCAATGTATGGCTCTGAAAGTTGGACCATAAGAAAGGCTGAGCACCAAAGAATTGAGGCCTTTGAACTATGGTGCTGGAGAAGACTTCTGCGAGTCCCTTGGACTGCAAGGCGTTCAAACCGGTCAGTCCTAGAAGAGATCAACCCTGACTGCTCTTTAGAAGGCCAGATCCTGAAGTTGAAACTCAAATACTTTGGCCACCTAATGAGAAGGAAGGACTCACTGGAGAAGGGCCTAATGCTGGGAAAGATTGAGGGCAATAGAAGAAGGGGATGACAGAGAATGAGATGGCTGGATGGAGTCACTGAAGCAGTAGGTGTGAACTTAAATGGACTCCAGAAGATGGTAGAGGACAGGAAGACCTGGAGGAACGTTGTCCATGGGGTCGTGATGGGTCGGACATGACTTCGCAATTAACAACAAGAACAACAAGAGCCGGAAGGGACCTTGGAGGTTTCTAGTCCAGCCCCCTGCTCACGTAGGCTTCTCTAATTCATTTAAGCCAGTGGTTCTTAACCTGGGTGATATTGCCCTCCAGGGGGCGATTTTGTTTTTCAGGGGGGCAATGGAACAAAAAGGGGCGATGCGGGGGCGAAGGAATGAAAAGGGGGTGATATGGGGCGATGGAGTGAGAGGTTTTGGGGACACTTTTGAGACTTTTTCGTACAGTGAATCGCTGTATATCTGATGGAGGGGGGAGCGCTTCTTTCGAAACATTGCATGCTGAGTGGCTCTGTAAAACATTTTGTATTGTACTTTTTTAGCGTGCACTCCAGTTCGATATTATATTTTCTTTGTGTCTTTTTAATCCTTTTTACAGTGTGAGTGACTATATATAGTTTCTTCGAATCTTAATTTAATTTCAGAGTTTTCGTCTTGAAATTCTTAGTTCCTGCATTGTGGTTTGTTCTTATGCCCTTTTTATATTTCTTTTTGCATCTTAAATTTCACTTGTAATTCAATCATTAAATGTTACTGTTTTTTTTCGGGCATTTCACTTTCTTGCAATTGAATTTTGTGTTCAGTGGTCACTACATTTAAATGTCTTGAATAAATAAGATAATAATGAAATACATGTATCACGAAGTTTGGGAATAAAGTGACAGTTGAGATATGGGGAAAAGACTGGAAATAAATGATTTGCATCAATATGTCCTGATGACAATTTTAAAGAAAACAAAAAAAGTGTTTGGATAAATTGAAGAATTATTTCCTATTTGTGATTGAGAGGTTATGTTGGGGGAGGGGGGCGATGACAACTTCCTCATTGGCTCAAGGGAGCGATTCATTCAAAAAGGTTAAAACCACTGATTTAAGCAGTCAGTGTTTGCCAAGGGTTCTCATCTATGGAGTTATCCAACAAGAAGTCCTCAAAAGCAGGAATTCTCTCCTTTTCTATGACACAACTTGCTTCTGAAGGCATGAGTGGCCCTTTTCCTCACTGAAATTCCAAAAACAAGTTAAGACTGGCTTATGTTGAAAGGCCACTGGAAAGTGGTGGATGAAGTAATTTATGGATTACCCTGAGGGAGATTTAAAGTTATGCCCTATCTATTGTAGAAGAGTGTATTTATTATTCTGTTATTATTGAATTGTTTTATTGTTCTGGTGCATATGGGCGATCATTTAGAGTCATCTAAACTGAAATAGTATAAAAGGGTCCATAACAAAAACATGACGAACGTCTTGATCAGGCAAGATGCATGTGGTTTGCCTGCATTCTGGCAAACCACATGCATCTGGAAAGCTCACGAGCAAGATTTGGGGAGCAATAACTTTCTTCCATAATTGCTACCTCTCAATTGGCAAGTTGGTTGTATTATTTTTCATTCTGAGGCTCGTGTGCAACCAGTAAGGCCCTTTGCTGCCACTGACAGCCAAATTAATAAGAATTGCTTGATGTATGTGCTCCTGCCAACCTCTGTTCTCTCTTTCAACCAAATTCCATTTCTCGTTACCTCTGTGCCACGGAATGATTTAGTTTAATACAAGACAAGGGAAGAACTCTGACAGTCCATTTTTGGAAGGCAATTATAAACAATAGTTGGAAAAGGGAAACAAAAATATACCAAGGAACATTTTCTAAAGCATGTGGGTTGTTTGGCCTCCTTAGTATTCTATTCTAATTGATTTAGATTTACAGCTGTACATGCAGTTTGATATTTGTGCCTTAGAAGAGGACAGGTACATGTAGGAATCACAGGAGGTGAGCAGAGCAGGGGAAATATCCAGATCAACGCTCAGTGATAGTCTCAGCCCTCCACTGCAACAGCTGCACTGCAACAGCAAGGTTGTAGAGGGTAATCCCATCGTTCATCTCTCCTATGTATTTTCTCATTGTATAATCCTAGGAACCAGACTGCATAGATCAGTAGAACTGCACTAGTATGAATGAAATCTAATTCTCCTCCAATTCATGAACTGAAATTATAGCAGAAGTAATATCCTGCAGGGAAATTTTGTACTGTCGAGATAACTAAGACAAGCATTTGTATTTGTGTAATGAGAATTGGGTCAAATGTTTATTTTGGTAATGAGCTGATTTAAACTCTGAATTATTGACTCAAAAGGATTAGAAACAATTCAACACCACTTCTGCCAATATCTTATATTGTACCTTTAGTGTCTTCATCTTCAATGGTGGTATTTGTACTCTCTGAAGATTCCTGGACCAGAAAAGAAGAAAAAAAAAGCAAAATATTGGAGCAAAGTAAGACTATTCCGACTTTGTTTCAGAACTGTTTGTTAACCTTTCATTAAGGTTCTACCCAGACAGCACCAAACACTGCAAAGAAACAAAAACCAGGTAAGCATCAGTACAGGTCAATAACCACAGCTCTTGCTTTGTATCTGTAACACTTGCCCTGACTTCTATGCCTTACAGAAGTAAGTGGGAGGTCCAACTGTGTTGTCTTGTAAAAACTTAAATCACCTTTCTTGCAATTGTCTACCATCCTAAAGAAGACTGATTAGTACAGCAGGAATGAAGGTCCTGAAATCTCCTATCATTAGGAGGAATAAGAGGGCTGTGTAGAAGTGAAAGACAATATGTACAAATTAACAGGAGGGAGCTAGGATGAGGGAGAGAGGGAGATTTTGCAGGGAGTGAAAGAGGCCACACTGAGTGCATAGTAAAGAAAGAAATGTACAGTAAAACAAAGAGGGTTTCTAAGACCCACACAGACCATCAAAGCCTGACATACACTTTCTTCCATAAACAGCCAACTGGTACACAAATTAACATGGAGAAAGGGGAGCCATTTGCTCTCCAACATTATCAGCAAGACAGCTCTGGTAGCTATAGGGTTATTAATTCATCCCACCAGAGACCTTTTTATTTTTTTTTAACATATCTCAGTCTCAAACAACAAATTAACCAAGCTTCACCAGCCGTCTGATTGCTTGTGATTGCACAGTTCCAGCAGAGCCATATTAGATAGCCTTTTCCTTCATGTCTCCTTTTTATTGAGGTAGTTTGCACGTCTCCTAAATGATAAGCACCATTGAAAACCTTTCCCTAGAAATTCAGATTAGGTTCTCGGTGCTCCTCGGTGGGCTTCAGCTTCTTTTTGTGCCATCCATTCCTGTTTAATGGGATTTGTAGGGGAGATGCTGTACCAAAGAGGTTCAACCTTCAACCCAACCCTCTATACTTTCTAAGAACAGGAATGGTTGGAAGATGTTGAGAGGCCCAACATTATCAGCATTGAGGAAGACAAAGGACACTCACCATTAACTGAACGCTGGAACTGGACTTTCTTTTCTGGAAAAACAAGGAGAAGAGATGGGACAAGAAGAGACACAGAGTGAGAAAGAAAGAAGTGAGCAGAACATGGGAGAAGATGGGTTTTCTTGTGGGTAAGCCTGATGCTTAATTGAAGAGTTCCATGTCTTCAGCAAAGACAGAACAAGCACTGCACACAGCATGCTAGCCTAAAATTTCCCGCGCAAGGAACAATTCAATCAACATTGTCCAATTCGCACTGAGTGCTACTCATCTTTGCACCCTATAAATCTTGTTACCCTAAAACAGCCTTGACATCTAATTCTCAACTTAGTTCTTTTCTTATCCAAGCCAAAGCAAATATTTCCAAGTGAAAATTTTCCAAGCTGAATGCATATTAGATATCAAACTAAAACTACTATGTTACTCTTTCTTATAAACACAAGAGTATCTAAATTCAACTTTCCAATAACAAAACATTAAACTTTTATAACCCGCCTTGCCAGGAGGAAAGATTGACATCCTGCTAGTGGAATAGGCAAAAATTGTTCATTTAGAATCAGAAGATAAGCTAGAAGGAATTCAAACAACTCTCTAACTCAACTTAATGAGGCAGGATATGTTACAACACCAATATCTGATTCTTTCTTAAATAATTGCTGAAGTGCTGAAAGCCTCTTACTTTACTAACCTAAAACTGTACACTTGGTACAGCTGAAACCCATTGCTTCACAAAATAATTAATGGATGTACTCTTCTAAAACAGAGGTCTCCAACCCCCAGTCTGTGGACCAGCACTGGCCCATGGCATGCCAGCAGCTGGACCACATGAACAAGTGAAGCCCCATCCACAGGATGCAGGCAGCACACAAAACCACACCCCCTCCGGTCCACAGAATGACCTTTCTCCATGGAACTGGACCCTAGTGCCCAAAAGGTTGGGGGCTACTGTTCTAAAAACAGTTACAGAGTCTTTTGCATGGATACGTGAAGCATATCTGATCCCACAAAGTCACTTTTCAAGATGTCCACATTATGTATCTGCACTGATTACCAGATAACAAAACTGTAGGTCTGATGTAGGCTGTAGTGACAGTGGAGTACAAGGTACAATTTTGTCTGGAAAGAAATTCTCCCAAGAGGAAAATCTGAAAACTGGATTTTAATGATGACAAAATATCTTCATTCCCACTAAAAAGAAGAGGGTTGCTAAGCTTTATTTGGAAACAAAAATAATAAATATATGCTATTCTATCTTGCCTGCTTCTTTCCTAGATTTCTGCAAAATGTAGTAATCATTAACCTTATGTAGGAATGTGTCAACACATGTTTTCATTAGAAAATTTAAAAAAATGAGGATGAAAAAAATAATACATTTTTATTATATGGTTAATGCTTAATTGCAAAAAAATACACATTTTAATTACAATCTAAGGAGCAGAGATTATATTGCACATAATCTCAGAATGACATCAAAAATCACTCATATATTAAATGGTGAAAATCAGCATCTCATTAACTGCAGACCTGGACTCACCACAAATTAGCACGTTGCGTATTAGAGCAGAAATCCTAGAAATAACCCAAGAAATATAATTTAAAACGTTACCCCTTAATTCATGATGAAATTACTTCATACTGCACACTGGAAGGGAATTGCCTTACCACATTTCAGAAGTTCAATGAGCAGTCAAAAATGTTTTGAAGTTTCCTCTTATTTATCATCATTACTATCCAGTTTTGGGTTTTGTACTCTGCTTTGCTTTGGCAGCAATCTCAGCAATTCTTGTGAGCATGCCTAGTCATGCTCAGACAAGGTAGAAAGTGCCTTGAAGTGGTTGTGCTGCCCTTCCAAAAGGATGTAGCATCTCAGCACTTCAGATGGTGAGTTCAGCTGAGCACTTCAGGTGCTTCACACAGCCCTTAGAAACAGGTTTCAAATGTGACTATTGCAAATTAAATTACGATATGCTTCAGATCATGTGGATAGAAATAGCAAATTCATGCCCATTGGCATCTGGGATTTTCACAGTCTTCTATCACCTATGTATAAGATCATATCTTGTGAAGCAATAATTTAAAACAACTCTCCTTTGAAAATTTAAAAAAGGGAGAACAGGGATTACTATCTAAAATGGAACCATCCAGGCTATGATGTAAAGATGCAATAGGAAATCTTACTGGACAATAATTATAAAAGTAATCAGACATAACACGATGCAACACAAAAGCAGTGACTTCATTTAAGTAGGACAAACACATAATAAAAGAACACAGTACAGGGAAGTGAACTTAGTAATTTAGGACGTAGGATATGACATGGTGGAGTGCAGTGATTGCATTAATTTAGTTTGTGAGGATGTGATTCTGACTGGGACAGTGAACATTATTGTGTAGCTGCTGGTTAAAAAGAAGAGAACACCTTATCTCTCAATACATATAACAGTGTATTGGTCAAAAGAATAAGGATTAGCTGACAAGTTTTTATTTTAATGAGATGTTGTTATAGCCAAAGAAGAATATCTATCTTTCTAAAATGGACTATTCATGGAAAGAATCCTACTTCAAGTTTGCTTCTTGGGAGTAGTTATCAAACCATGGATTTCATTAGAAAAGGACACAAATCTTGTGACCATGAATCTGACATTTGTGTCTTGAAACAAAACCAGCAAAAAGTTCCCCACTGCACACAGAAATAAGAGGGGAAAAGTACAAGAATATATCAGAAAGATGGTTTAACCATGATAAAGGAAGAAACTGATTCTTTTGGTTAGTTTCTGAGAGAAATTAACAGTGAGAGCACCAGGAGAGGCTTTTAGTACTAGAAACAGCCAGCTGCCTCAGCATAAATATATATCTTGGCCCGACAGTGCTGTAGTCAGAATCTCCAAGGCATATATATATATGGTCATTCTCTGAAACTGCATTCCTTTCCCCACCCTCAGACCACCATCAAGCCACCACATGAACTGTGAAAGGGTTGGCAGACACTTTCCCAGAAAATTCCACTTTGGTTTCCAGAAAATAAAACAGTAATAATGTCAGTGCACAGCTACATTACACTCTATTCCAACTCAAATAGTTTGGAACTGAGCAATGGAAGTAATATTGCTGCTAAAAAAAAAGAAGTTGTTCATGCTTTAATCCACTTTTTAGTAAAGTCATGAACCAGCTTTCAAAGTCTCAATGGCCTTACTAAAGACTTAGAGGCATTGTTCCTGGTTTTACTACCTTCTCTTTAGTGGTGACAATAACCTTTGAATTCGTTAATCTCTTTCAGGTTTCCGAAAGTTCCTTTATCATATTAATGTAGCAGAGTGTAGTTTTCTTAAAAATTATTCAGGTTAAAAAAAAAAAAGGGTAACAGCTGGGATTCTTACCACTGCTCAAAAGCTAAGCCAGGAACAAAATACTGTATCTAACGGATTTTACTAAATCAAATCACCATGCACTTTCAGCATTGGCCATCTTGGCTGGGACCACTTGGAATTATAGTATAGCAACCTCTGGAAGATCTCAGATTTTTAATCCCAATTTTAAATTAACTTTCTAATTCTCTTCTTAGGCTCCCCTGTGACAGCCTTTACATAGGATTAGAAATGCCAGAGGCATAATAGAAAACAGAATATTGATATGGGATATCTGCAAAGTGATAAAGGCTCCTCCTTCAGAAACTTCCTTTACATGGAAAGATAAGTCACTAGGAACTAATATTTAAGGGGATCAAGAGGAATTCACACTAGGGTATGTTGTAAGATTATACACAGCCACAGAAATATTCTGGGATATTAAATACCGTAGGGGGAATTGTGAATTACAGTTCTACAAGAAGGCAGTATCACTATAATCTCTGAATACTTAAATCAGTCCCAAGCCTAGATTATTTCTAAGAAATCACATAATTATCTGATAATATTGAAACGCAGAAGATTAGAAGAAAGGCACAATCTTTTCTCCAATTTATAAAAGTAAGTAGAAATGAAAAGAGAATTATTAGAATATATTTCTCAGTTTCAATGAGCAGGTCAAAATGTTGCTTAGTTCTCCATTATTGTCCTCACAATTCTGCTCTCTAATTCTTTTTTCACATTTATTTTGGTATGGATTAATCAAACAAATTGAGCATAAACTGAGGCAACTATTACTATATCTAAGCTTTACAAACTATATTTTTTCCTTCAGTTTTATTTTTTGTACGAAAGGCAAGAATGGGAAAAATGTATCTAAAAATTGAGTAACACATGAAACAGAAGATCTGGGCCACGCTGGGACCCACTACTAGAAAAGACACCCAAGCGTATTTGTCATCTTGTAGGATCCAGAAATGAGGAGGACTTACCTTCACACCATCATTCTTCTTGTTTCCACCGCTTTTCCCTCCTGTGGAGAAAAGGTACCAGGTCAAGAGGCACAAGCATGATATCAGAGTTAGCAGAGTGAGAACCAGCAACATGAGGAGAACTGACTAAGAGCAGGAGACCATGGAACTGAAAACCACACATTCAGTGCTGCAGCATTCTCTGATAATAATCCATCAGTCTGAAAAAAGTCTCTCAATAACCCATGAAGATTGCAGACTGGATTGCTATGATCTTTCCAATAGAACAAAACAAGCCACAGCCACTTAGAGTCATGTATTCCCAAGTTCTTGAAGAAGTCAAAACAGAGCCCGGCAATGTTGGTGAACCGAAGGAGCATTCTCTGTGAAGTTTGTTTATTCCTTCTTGAAAGGACTAGCTTAAGGATCTTCCCATCACGTGGCCATCACGATTTAATCTTCTCTATGAAATCACTCCACTTTCTAAGTTTGCTGATCTCACTTTTTTGTTTCATCGGTTCACGAATGGTTCAGCTGTAGATAAGTGTTCTCGTGCCTGCCTGCTTTTCTCTCTCTCAGGCTCTCCTGCTAATTTTAGTCCCCCATGCTGGTGGAGATCACGTGCTGCAATTATGACATCCTGACAGCTGCAGCCCACATTTTGACAATGATAAAAAACAGGCACCTTCTTTCCTACCCCTTTCCCAAACCTGGATTACTCTATTTGGTTCAAGCTGGATAGAAAGTTCGTACTGTAAAGTCTGGGATTTTTTTTAGTCTTGGTAACAGTTCCAGAATTCTCAGCCAATTAACCTTTCCCCAGCTCCAGGTTTTTTGTTTTTTTTTAATGGTTTCCTTAGATTGTTAAGATCTATATCCTCTCTTATTTCCCAAGTTGTTATGATGTTTTTCTCACGATCTCTTTAAATGCTTTTATTCCATCAAATACACATCTATTGCACAATCTTTTAAGTGCACTATATTTTTCTACATTTTGGGGTCTTTTAAAGTTCTGCAGTGTATTTTCCACTTGCTGAAATTCTTAACTGCTTGGGTTTAACAAATTATATATTGTTACATGTAAATGCTACCTATGTATATGTTATTACATGAGCTGATATGTAGAAGCAACAGCCAATTGTGGTTTTGCATCCAACATGTCCCACAGTGACACATATACTGTATATGAGAATGCGGGCTGTACACATTGTAATTTCCTAAGCAGAAATCTGCTTGTTTGAAATAGCTTAATGTCATGTCTGTTCCTAACAATTGTTCCCTCCAAAAAGGGTATCTGTCCCAATCAATCAAGTTCTAAAAATGTAAGGAAGACTTGATGGAACAGAACAAATGTCTGTCTGGTTCAGCATTTTGTTACAATATGTTTCTTATAATAACTGAGATGACTGGGAAGTCCAGAAGAATCAGGGATGGTAAATTGTTCAGTGCCTCTGAACCTATACTCTGGGTACCCAGCATAACTATAATCCTCCATAAATTTTGCTATTTCTCTTTTAAAGCCAGCATTTTGTTACTTTCCAAATACAATGTCAATCCAACAATCCCACTTATTTCTTCTGGATCCACTTTTCTTCATGTGAAATTTTAGCAAATGGAAGCTGTTTTTAGAAGATTCCCCATAAATTCAAGGTTTCTTTAGAAAATCCAGTAAAACTGCCTTACTTTCCTGAATGATAATTTTTAAAACTCACTTCTAAGCAATTATTATACAGGAAGGAAATGCTTTCATCTTAATACCTGTATTCTAGAAAGATATTATTATTATTATTATTATTATTATTATTATTATTATTATTATTCCTTTAAAAACTCCATCTAACCAAATGATGTGCTCTGGGGCAAACCCCTTCTGATTAATAACCACGTTACCCAACATTTTTCACAGAATAGTGTAAAATGAATTTGTTATTGTCTAATCTGAATTCTTTCAAGCAAGTGTAATCTGTTAATAAATAATGGTGATTGCCCTGTTGTGTGAAGGATGGAAACTTGATTGATTTGCTTATGGCAACCTTTCTATCAATGTGCAAAAAAAGTATTTTTATATTTTGTCTTCACTTAATAATCCAGAGAAAATGGTCAATATCTATTAATATGAAATGCTAGAAGACAGATGCTAATGTTCATTCTTCCTGATGTCTTGCATGAGTCACTACGCAAGCCAAACTTAGGTTACATCCACACAGCTGCTTCACTATGTTCCTTCTTATTCTGGGTCCTTCCCTAAGTCTTGCTATCTCCCCAGCATGTCTCAGAAGGCTTCTGAGCTCTGCTGTTGCTGCTACAGCACACTATTCTGTGGTAAAAGCTATAATTTTGGCTTCCTTGATTGACACTATCCTTCATTTGAAAATTGGCATGGCAATACGCTGGCTAAGTCATGCACAGGCACCCCCCTCCCTTTTTCTATTGCCTCCTCAACCCATTGAACTTTTTTTTTTAATTCTTTGCAATTATGCATCAACCAGAGAACTTATCAACCACTAAATGACAGGAAAAGTCATTCTATCTAATTTTTAAAAAAAATTTGGGCTCCCCTCCAGTAGTTATCTAGATTTGTGCTGTTGCTGGATGAGTACTAGATTTTGAGCAAGAGGATTTACTATGGGGATTGGGGTGGGAGTTGTAAAACTACCCTAAAATTATAAGAGGATAGGATGTGTGAAGCCAAGGTTCCTGATAATTGTGACCTCTAGGAAGGGCTTTCCCTGCCAGGCAAGTTACAGATAATAAAAAAACAAATATTTTCAATTACACTTCCAACTACTTGCTTTAAGCTAGGGTCATTTTCAGGACAAGGTTCGGGACCAGGTCTCTAGGTCAACCAGTCTAGGTCGACCCATTTAAAAAAGAAACAAACAAGCTGGATTTCAGTCTCCCTCACAGCCCAAACAGAATTGACGGAGGAAGACCAATCAGTGATGGGGTGGAAAATGATGGTTCCACAGGAAGGTGATAGAACCAGTTGGAGCCACATGTTTTCTAATGCTTCATTCATTTGTGTATGGAGATTCTCAATCATCCAGGTCATGGTTGTCCCAAAGGCACTGTTCAAAACGCAACTGGACTTTCTTAATTTTTTTCCTTGAAAACGTTTTGCTTCTGAACTGAAGAAGCTTCTTGGATGAGAAGTGAAACATGTTTAAGGAAAAAACTAAGAAAGTCCAGTTGCCTTTTGAAAAGCACCTTTGGGGCTTTATTTATTTCTGCTTTCCTGGTAAGATCTGATAGGGTCAGAACGTTCTAGATTCTATTGCTCAGCCAATGTCATTTGATGGGACCCAGAGTACATTCCATCTGTCACCACCTCCATTCTGTGGACCAGCATCCCGCCCAAGATTCAGTTAACCCAGCTCTATCTGGCTTTTGAAAGGCAGTAACCTCAATTCTTTCCCCAGGCATTGAGTCATAGATTGACACGATCCCATTGTATGAATCTTTCCAAGAATCTTATGGCCTTATGTTTTTGTGTTTTATTTTTCTATTATTTCTTTTTTGTGTTATTTTATAAATATTTATTGCTGTTTATTGATGATGTATACTGCTCTAAGTCATGTGCTTAGTGGAGAGCTATATAAATCATATAATCACAATGGAAGAAATCATTTTTAGATCACCTCTTCTATGGCATCAACATACCCAACTTTACCTACACCCAACACATGGAGATGGAATAAGAGGGAGGACGTTACTCTCAGAGTTATCCTTGGTCTGTCTCAGCTGTGGTTGGATGATGAGATACAGGCAATGGTATGCAGATATGTCCTTTGGAAATGATTAGTTGATGTTCCTCAAGCTATGTTGATGAGCTGTTAATCCAAGGGAGTTTACATTTATCACACTCTGTGAATTGGGGCCTTAGCTATAATTAATTCCAGTGGCTTTTCAGCTTTAAGTGAAGAAAATGGTATGGGGGTGGGTTATTTAGGGAAAAATTATTTGTAATGTTTAGGAATACTTGACTGTATAAAATAATCTTTCTTTCACAAAATTATAAGGAATTAATCTTAAGAAGCCAATACCTTCAGTACTACCTCCCGCAGAGCTATAGAATGTGCAGACTGTATTAAAGCTCCTCATGGATTCTGCCAAAGAAACTCTTTCTTACTTTCCACATGCAAACTGGCACATTCAGGGACATTTTTAAAGTATAGTAAGGGAAATAGGTGATCAGATCTTCATTTCCTAGTTTGGTGCTACATTTAAGCCACAGTCCAAGAATATACATACTGTAACATAAGATCTTCAGAGCTTTCTCCTCAGGTCACCACCACTGAGTATGGGTTACAACATAAATTTAAATGTTTTCTTTCTCTTCTCTTTCTTGTATGAACATTTCAACATACATAGAAAAAAAAGTCATTTGGGAATCACATGAAAATGTCCAAACCTGCTTGTGGAAGTCTTAATGCAGCAACCAGCCATATTTTCTAACCAAAGTTAATAGTCAATAAGTGAGAAAGTAGCAAGTAAATAGAGTTGGGTTGCCTACCAGAAAAATTACGGGTCGCTAGCATTGTAGTGAGGATTGCACCCTGGAACACACAAAAGACAAAAAGAAAAAAAAGGGGAAACAGGACATAATGTTGGATTCAGAATCAGGACTATCCTTCCCCCCACCCCCATTTTTCTTAAAAACATCTTGTGGAAAATGGAGCTGGCTGAACTACAAGGGGAATGTACCTTTGGCCCTGTTTCAGGCAGGATGAATATAGTTCAGGGAATATATTAATAGAAACAGCAAACAGTTTGCAGAAATCAAGTCACTGGATATTAGCCCAGTGTTTTTAACTGCAAGTTTCCGAATGGTGGACACAGAGTTTATTATAGCCACCTTATATAGAGATTAAAAAGCTTTCCTTCCAATGTTAATGTAACTCCATTCTTCACTAAACAAGTAACACTTGAGCTCTGATGGGACCAGACTAACTGATAAATGTCTTGCTGTATTAAAGAGGATTTCCTACAGTATCCAAAGTGTAATCTCAAATATGCTATCTATCCTTGAGACATTCAACAGATTAAAATTCTTCTGATGCATCAATCATTTGTCTCAGGTCATAGAACAGAAGAAATTATCATAATGAACAAACAATCCCCCCAACCTTTCTTTTGTGTTTCGGGATTCAAGGCATTGAAGATGACACATTGTAAAGCAAACTTCTTTATTTCTCCTTGACTCCATTCCAAGCAACTGCAAAACAGGCACGCAGGCCTTTTATAGATTTCTAACCCCCAGGCAGTCCAGCCAATAGGAATCCCTCTTTCTTCGTGCCCTGTGCATGCGCAGTAGTCCGGCGCCAGCCAGTCTGGTCCCGGGCAGCTTTTAGGTTTCCCGGGACCATTTGCAACATTTCTGGGCCTGCTGAGTTTCCTCATCAGGCCCAGGACACAACACCCCTCCCCCCTGGATAGAACACACACAATTCCTATTTTCTTTACAATAATAATAATAATAATAAAAATATATTCCTGCTCATATGCAGGCAACATTCTTATAACACAATAGGGTTCTCTAAATAACCCACTCTTTAATGTGGACTTCCTGTGTCTATCTTCTACCCCACATAGGTCCAACTCCTATCCTAGACTAGTAAGGTTTCCTTGTGCTGACAGCAACCTTACATATTCACCTAGGTGTTTAGGAGGGGCCTTAGCCCTTTGTGACCTACCCAAAGTCAGGGAGGGTGCCAGGCCTGTCAGCTCACCTGCCCAACTAGGCAGACCAGGACTTGTACTTAAGGGCGCCTGGCCTACTGGCCCGTCTGGTGGGCTCACTAGACCAGGACTTTTATGCACAAATTTTGCAGGTGACTCCTGGTGAGGCATGCTGGCAGAGTTGCCAGGGCTATCTCCAGGCTCCTTGAGAATGGAGGAAATTCCCCAACCCAGTGGAGTGGTTGAGGACTCCCCAACTTCCCTGGATGGCTCCAGGGAACTTAGTCCCTTGAGCCCGCGACCAGTCTCGGACGTGACCTGTGTTGCAAGTGTACCCCAATACTCCCAGTCCCCTGTGGCCAAGGTGCCAGAGTCAGGAGCCGCCTCTATGGCAAACCCCTCCTCAGGAGAATTCCTGTCTGACGCTCTTGAGGATATGCCGGCCACCCCTTAGGATGACTTCCTCTTGGGAGCAATTGCTGATGCACCGGACTCTCTGTTCAGCATAATAGCTGAATCGTGAGGATGCCATTGCTCCTCCCCTGGGCAATCCCTAGCGACCTGTGGCAATTCCCAGGAACAGTGAGATTGTGTCTCAGAAGGTTGACCTGAAGTGTGATGTAGTTCCTGGGCCCCCTCCCCCCCCGAGAGCAGAGGCAGGGGCGGAATCAACTGCCAGCGCAGTTGATCGATGTGACGCCGCACGACGCGGCCATCTCCCAAGGTCACTTCGTATGATAGAGGTCCAGAGATCTTACAGATGACAGCAGGAACCCAGAGATGTCCAGGACTATAGTTCCTAGCCCAGACCAGATTGCCTGAAGTCTCCAAGGAGCCTGTGGCTGTGACACCTGGGAAGACACCCGATCGGGGTGCAATCTGTCTAACTTCGTGATGAGGCGGCCGCCCCAGTGGAGTTCAGCTGGGCTCTTCCCAGTGGCAGTGCAAGGTGTGGTGCGGTGTGCAAGAAGAAAATCTGCTAACCTGTGATGCCAGCGGCCATGTGTTAGTCTTTTGAGTGCGTCTTTGGTGGTGTGCGCACCATTCTTTCAGCTTGCCCATTGGTGGAAGGGTGGAAGGGTGCTGACGTTGCATGCTGTATCAAATTGGCCTGAAGGAAAGCCTGGAACTCACAAGGTGTAAATTGAGGACTATTGTCAGAAATGAGAACATCAGGAAGGCCATGGGATGCAAAGATTCCCCTTAGCACCTGGATGGTCCTAGCAGTAGTAATGGAGGAGACAGGTACAACCTTTAGCCACTTGGAATGGCTATCCACAAAGATAAGGAAGAATTGCCCCTGAATGCGCCCAGCATAATCTAAATGTACCCTTGACCAAGGGGTTTGTGTCTCCTCCCACCTGTGTACAGGGGCCTGAGGCATTTCAGGATGGGATTATTGGTACACCTGGCATCTGTGCACCTGGGCTTCAATAGCTTTATCAAGCCCAGGCCACCAGAGATGGCTGTGCGCAAGCGCTTTCATGCACACTATGCCCTGATGTCCCTCATGCAGAGAGGACAAGACCCTAGACCTCAGTGAGGCTGGGATAACTACTCTACTTCCCCATAAAAGTCACCCATTAAAGGTAGACAGTGTGTGTCTCCTTTGCCAGAAACTTTGAAATGTAGCATCTGGACACATGTCAGGCCATCCTGACAACACCCATGTCAGCACGCGTGCAAGTGTGTGATCAGTAGCAGTTTCTGCAGCCACATCCCTAGCATTGAGGGGAGATAAAAGCAACTCCTGAATGGAGAGAATGTTAATAGCAGGAGCAGGATCTGCCTCTATCTGTTTTAGAGGTAATCTGCTGAGGCCATTTGCAAGGCCCATTTCCTTTCCAGGTTTGTGAATTAAAGTATAGTCATGTGCTGACAGGAAAATAGACCATCTCAGCATATGTGAAGAAATAATGTGTGGTGTTTGTTTGTTTGTGGTAAACAAACCCAGCAAAGGCTTATGGTCTGTGTAGACCGTGAAGTGGCGGCCATATAAGAAATCATGAAATTTCTTTATGCCAGCCACTATGGCCAAGGCTTCTCTGTCAATCTGAGTGTAATTATGCTCTGCAGATGACAGAGTCCTTGAATAGTAGGCCACAGGGACTTGGGTCCCATCAGAGGTAACTGAGTACAGCACTCACCCCATAAGGGGATGCATCACAAATGATGCATACAGGCAGTTGCTCATTAAAATGGGCTAATACCACATTTGATGAGAGCAAGGCCTTGACCTCCTTAAAACTCCTGTCATGGACTTTAGTCCACTGCCATGGAGCTTGCTTGTCCAAGAGCCAGTGTAATGGCTCAGCCACAGCAGCCTTATGGGGAAGGAAAGCATGATAAAAGTTAAGAAGTCCGAAGAAAGCTTGAAGCTCGCTTTTGGACTGGGGACTTGGGGCCTCCTGAATGGCCTTCAATTTAGACTCTGCAAGGTAGATGACTTGAGCATCTATTTTAAAGCCTAAAAATTCTGTAGAAGTAACATCAATTTTACATTTGTCCTTTTTTAATTTGAGGCCCACTTGATGGAACCTCATCAACACAGCCCTTAATCTTTTAGCCAAATTCTACGATAATTCCCCTGCAATGAGGATGTCATCAAAGTAGGGGCAGACCCCTGGGATACCCCTGAGCGTGCGCTCCATTCACCCCAAATTGTAACCTTTTTACTTTAAAAGCATCCCTATTGGTCACTATTGTTTGGGCTTCAGCAGTTGCCTCATCAACAGGTAGCTGTTGATAGGCCTGTGCTAAATCAAACTTTGCAAACAGTGTTCCCCCTTTAAGGGAGGCCAGAATATGACTTACCACTGGTACAGGATATGCATGCCGTTGCAAAGCTGTGTTCAGAGTACACTTATAGTCCGTGCAAATTCGGACTTCCCTGTTAGCCTTTAAAGGCATCACAATTGGGGTTTCCCATGGACTTGAATCCACAGGTTCCAAGATGCCCTGCTGGAGCAGCTTATCCAGTTCAGCATCAATTTTGCCTTTGAGGGCGAATGGCACCCTCCTAGGCTTAATCCTAACTGGTACGATGTTTGGGTTTAATCACAGTGCGATGGGAGGCCCTTTGTATGAAGCAAGCTCTGAACTAAACACATCTGCAAGCTCTTTGCAGACTTCTGCAAGTCCTGGAGCTTGCAGACTATTCAGACCAGTCACCTGAATTCCCAGGGCCTCAAACCAGTCGAGTCCAATTAGACTCGTACGATCACCCCCAACAACCACCACATCTAAGAGGCCTTGGAAAGCCTTATGCTGCACCTTGAGTGTGGCTCTCCTAATACATTAACCTTTGAATTTTGAAAGTCAGTAAGAATTAGGTTCGATGGCCTGAGTTTGACTCAACGGCCACTACTGCAGCAAATCCTTTTAAAAGTTTGTGTGAAATGATTGCTAGAGCGGACCCGGTGTCCAGCTCCATTGATAAGGGAACCCTTTGTAACTGTACATCAATGCAAAGCTTCTTTTTAAGGGGCTTGTGTGTCCCCGTTCGCAAGATGCTTCTATGCAACACGCAGAAACCCACCCTGTGTTGGCTGGGGATCCTGGTACCTTTCTGAAGAGATTCTTCCTGAGGTTACACCTGCTGGCAACCCAAACAAATGGTGGCAATGTGGCCTTGCTTACCACATGCCTGGCAAATGGCGGAGTGGAACCGGCAGTCTGTGCGCTTGTAGCGTCCTCCGCAACCGAGACACTGAAGGGCTGCTGGGGCCTTGTCTGGTTTCTCTCGTGGTCTTCTCACTGCCGGCTGGTGAAGTCTGTCCACCTCCTCTTCAGGATCTGAGTCTTGGACTTCCTGATCGACCTCTTGGTGGATGGTCGCAATGGCTGGAGCATTTCTGGCAAGCCACAGAGCCTTCACAGTGCCACCTGTTGCTTCTTTAGCTGCAACTTCACGTAAGACATCTTGGAAGGTAACTTCAACTTTAGCAAAGATTTTTTGTTGCAGCTCCCTGCTTCTCAGGCCGCAGACAAAACAGTCTCATAAGCGTTCTTCCAGGTCCTTGAATTCACAAGGCCTGGCAGCTTGTCTCAATGCAGCAATGAATTCAGCAGGGGACTTGCCCGGCTTCTGATCCCTCTGCTCAAAAGCATGCCTCCACGCGATCACACAAAGCTTGGGGTGGAAGTGATTCTTCAGCATGTTTTTTAGGTCTGTATAGGTGACAGACTCCAGCGGTGCCAGGGCTACCAGGTTCTCGGCTACATCCAAAGTCCTGACCGCAGATGCACAGCAGGATTGCTGCTTTCAAGCCGTCTTCCCAAACCTGGTTAACCCTTAGGTAATTTTCCACCCGGGCCACATAGGAGTTCCAGCGCTCCAGGTGAGAGACGTCTAACTCGGATAGATGTCCAATCTTTGACATCTTCTGCTTCGAATGCCTTGCTGCAAGCCTTTGTTGAGGGGAAGGGCCCATTTGCCAAGCTCACCTCCAGTGATGCTGTACTGACAGGTGAGTGCAGAGCTGGATGCCGATTCCCAGGCTTCAGGATTTTCAGATGAAGCGTATCCTCTTCTTACTGCCTTTTCCTTGCAGCGATCCCACCCTCGTTGCCACTTTTGTGTTTTGGGATTCGAGGCATTGAAGACGACACATTGTAATGCAAACTTCTTTATTTCTCCTTGACTCCATTCCAAGCAACTGCAAAACAGGCACGCAGGCCTTTTATAGATTTCCAACCCCCAGGCAGTCCAGCCAATAGGAATCCCTCTTTCTTCACGCCCTGCGCATAAGCAGTAGTCCGGCGCCAGCCAGTCTGGTCCCGGGCAGCTTTTAGGTTGCCCGGGACCATTTGCAACATTTCTGGGCCTGCTGAGTTTCCTCATCAGGCCCAGGACACAACACTTTCCATATTTGGTGTTGTGCTAAAATGCAAGATTACACTATAATACCCCAAACTCATTCCATGTTCAGCATTAAAGACAAAAGCATTTGGGCATGCTGACAAAGACTCATCTGTAGCATATATTTCTCCTCCATTTTAATTTAGCAGCTCTAAATAAAAGCTATTACAATTACCACTACTATACTATTACTACACAGAGCTCTCAAGCATGTTGTCCCATAGACATCAGTCTCATCACATCCATTTGATGGGGGGAAGACTTCAATGCATTACTGAAGTAACATATCCAGAGCCATTCTGGATATATAGATCAGTAAAATAATGTAGGTTCCTGATTTGCCATAGCCCAACATTATATTTTAAGGTCACTTACTTCCTGTTAGCAGGAAGTGTCCATTTTTAATAGGAAAAGGAAACATTCCATATTTGTTTGATGTAGAATTCCGAGCAATTGGTTTAGCATTTATAGAAAAAAAGCAAGATATACTTGAACCGAATAAAACTGAATTAGCATAAGGATGCAATATTTACACCTCTGTGTTTTATTCTAGCTATGGATAGATTTGAAATGTCCATCAAAATATAATTTTGGGGCATAGGGTAAAAAGGTCAAATGGATTTGTGTCTTTACTGCTTACTGTCTGTCTTCTCTTCTGTTGAGCACTTCTTTTAATCTCGCATTACTGTATTTTCATTGTTTATTTTATTGTTTTACTATTTACTTTTACACTTCCTTTCATTTCTGCGTTTTTACTCTTATAAGCCACCTAGAGTAGCCCCACAGCGAGATAGACAGAAAATGGATTTAACAAATAATCATAATAATAATCCAGTGACATACCTCTAATACCATCAAACCATCAATACCTGCCTGTCTCAAGTCCTTGGGAAGGACTCAATAGGTGGATAAAAATGCTAAATCCAGTCTGACTATCTGGCTGACTATGTGACAGTCCACAGTTTCTCAATATCTCAATCAAGTGAGCTAGTGAGAAATTACATTAGAACAGAATAATAATAACTTTATTGTCACTTTGAATGCACACTAATTGGCATACATTAAAATGAAATTTCATTGCATACAGCTCTCAAAGGGTCACCACCTCCAATATACACTGCATAAGCCAGTAATTTTGTTAGTGTCCAGCCCAAAGGCAAGAAATCCACAAGAGTTCATAGAACATATGTGCAGAGATAATTCAAGAAAACATTGAATCTAGAAACTGATAATGATATTACTGCTAAGTCTCCTAACTGAATCTTTTCCTACCCACAGTAGCGTACAACTGAGTGAAAAGTGGTCTAAAAATGGCAAATGCAGACCTTTGAAATTTGCAACTTGTCTGAATTTCATTAAATATCAGTTTTCAGAAATCTTTCAAGAAGCCATTATAGTTATTTTTAAGATTTTAAAGGTTTCAGATTAATAAATTCATTTCCTAACTAGTGATCTAAAGCAGTTTAATAACATCACCCAAGCATAGTTGATGTAATATAAAGTCTGCCCTCTTTATTTTACCAAAACAATGGTCTAGAAAACCTTTAATTCTCTAACAATTTTTCACCCAGTGCGGAAATGACTAAATGTTAGTTTTTCACATTTAGATGAATGAGATCACTTGGGTAATCTTTTGGAAGAACCACAGTGAAACTCATAATGATTTCAACTTTCAGCTAATGGCCATGACATTAATACTGTCTGCCTATACTTGGAACAGATCTATCTCATGTAAAGAAACTAATTTAGTTATACAGAGAAATATAGTCCAGTCTAAACTGTTCTTTTGTCTGTCTTTTCCTCTTTGGTGATTTTTTTTGTGTATGGAAAGAATGTGAGCACAAGTATGAGAAAATATAGAAAAATTACCCATTACAGGTGATGTCATCTGGATCTGTAAAATATAAATAGAGACCTGCAAGAAGCCTAATCTGGAGCCAGGTCTTGAAAGATATGAAACATGAACATGGGGAACAAATGAAAGTGGAAACTTTCAATTAAATAAACAGGGAAGCACCAAGTCCCATAATTACCTTCAGCTTTCTTCTGGCATTGAATTTCTTCAAGCAATCCACAGTCTCCTGTCTGTGCATGCAAGAAGCCACAGTGGAACGGTGCTAAAAGATATAAAGAAAGCGTGCTTAGAAATGAAAATGAATACAAAACCCTTGATTATTTTAGAAACCTGGGCTTATGTTGGAAGCCATATTTCCTTGTGTGATTGTAAATATGATCTATTAAACCAGATTGCCTTCTGTTCTTCAATTCCATACTGTTGTTGTATCTGGCTTTTTCTGCAGGGACTAAAATATATTGCTGATATAAAGTAAGCAGTGATTAAGTATTGTAGGACATCCATATACCCTCTCCTGCCTCTACTAAGACAGCCTGTTGCAGAATGCTGCTCCCCATTAATGTTGCAAAAAGATTCAACATTTAGCCCAATTAGATTTCATTTTCCTTTTCTTTTTTTAAAAAAAGGAGCAATGGAGTATCATCTTGACTGATCTCCTGTGCTTTTCACAATTTTCTGCATAGTTTTGCATATTCTCTACTAGGCAGGTATAATTTTTCCTCCCAACAATGACATTTGGAGGTTGCTGACTTTTTGTGGTCAAGAGCCATACTTATTCCTTTAGCATGACAAGAAAAAGTGGTGGGGAAAGTTCAAAATAAAGAGGTAGATGGGGTTAGGACAAAAATGAAATTTGCTTTAAGAAATTAATTTTAAATTAAATTAAAATTGCACTCAACACAATCATTACTTCTTCTGGGTTTAAGAAGTTCCTTTCTTTAATCTAAAGCACTACAATTTTTATTTATTCAATTTGAACCCTGTGTCAACTGGGTAGTTCATAGAGCAACTTTCTCGGGAATTCTAAAGGAAACTTGAAAGGTTTTGGAGGGCTTGAATGAAAGGTTTTAGAAGGCCCTGGATTCTGAGGTTGCAGACCCCCACTTTAAAATGGGGGAGCACTGATACCTGGAGATTATTATCAAAATCCAAACAGCTACTAACAGAAGTATGATTCACTATGCACTTACTGATATCCATGGATGCTTCAGGGCTTCTGCTGCTGTGATACGTTTGGATGGGTTGATTGTTAACATTTTATTGATGAGGTCTTTTGCTTCAGGAGTAACGGTATCCCACTCAGGAGATGGAAACTGCAAGTACAAGAAGATAAAACTTCTCATTCTCTCTTCTGCAGGAGAGAATTAAGACACAGTATATTTCTCTGAGACAGTAATTGTAACAAAAACCCAAAATGATTTGGAGTCCAGGTATTAAGTACATATTTTATATGCACATATTGTCAAAGAAAAGGAAAAAAACCCTAGATGTATGTATTTTTATTTAATTATCTTATGTTTTTGCTGTTCTTTATTTTTTGTCATTATTTTAAAAGCAATAAAAACAAATTAAAAGTTCATGTCATGTATGTGTTCTGACTTGATATGTTGCTGACTAGGGGGAAATAAGCACAACTATTAAATGCAGTACAAAAATATTTATTTATTTATATTTAATATTTCTCAACTGCCCATCTCCGTTTTGCCTATTCACCCATTTCAGGATGAATGGAAAGGGTCTTTAAAAAAACTAATAAAGATAATAGGTGGGTCAACTTTGCAGAGGTTCAGTCATGCATTATTGCAGGAGGGACCATAGGAATTACAGGCAAACTTTTTTAGAGGTTCTCAGGAAGTGTGAAAGTTCAATCAGAAAACTATAGCCTGGAATTAAATTACATAAAGCTTTGAAGATAACCTATATGTGCGTTAGTATGTGTGCATGCATGCTTTAGAGTCAGTTTTTTTTTTTTACTCCTGGTGACTACCTGGACAAATTTGTGCAGTATGTTCCAGACTAGACAGAAATAACAGATCCACACAGAGTGTGTTACTCTATTTAAATCTGGTGGTTATCAACCTTGCCTCTATTACTTTTAGGTCTCTATCTTCAGAAAGATAAAGAGTTAATATACCAAACATGGTTGATATATTCCCTGGAGTTCATCAAAGGTACATCTGGCCTTGTTTTAATTTGGAAAATCAAAAAGTGAATCAGGTCTAGAATAGGGACCTCATGTTGAGCACTTCTCTCTGGTCTGGATCCAATTTCAAAAAATTATCCCTCATCCAGCCCATTACTAACTGCAGGAAGGCATTCAGGAGAGCCATTCCATTTCCTAAAGACATCAAGGAGAAAGAGTATCATCAACAAACTATAGCATCCAGCTCCAACTCGCTTATTTCCTTCCAGCTACTTCTAGATGTTGAAAAGCATAAGATACATAACGGAGTTCTGGAAGATACCATATCACAGCTTCCATTTTGAGGATGCAGCATTATCTGAAATCTACTGGAGAGAGATAGCAATAGGTCCACTGCAAAGTTGTGCTTCCTGTTCCCAAAATTCTCAGATGATGAAGAGGATCTCAAAACAGATGATGTCAATGAGAACCAGTGGAGTCATGATCCATCTCTTGATCCCTAGATAAAAATCATCATCAGGCAGTCCAAAGCTACCTTAAGCCCACCCTCAAAGCAGTTTGATATGGGATAAGATAATTTATAGAGATTCTCAGTCATCCAGGTCATGGTTGTCCCAAAGATGTTTTTCAAAAGGCAGCTGGAGTTTCTTTTCTTTTTTTTCCCCTTAAAAATGTTTCACTTCTCATCCAAGAAGCTTCTTCAGTTCTGATTCAACTGTGGGGAATGGAAAGATTTATATTCTTTGCAGGCATTTGGTTGTTAACAATCTAAGAATCATTGAGGCCACTTGGGGTTTATCTGTACCCTCAGGGTCACCCGAATCAGAGTGCACATGGGTGTGGAACCTTCTTGGGACTGCTGAAAGGATTGTGTTGTAGATGGGAGATAGATGGTGTTGTATCCTTTCCTCTTTGTTGAAAGAGGACTGTTCAGTTTTAACATAGATGGCCAGTCTTCAAAAGGTCATTACTTTAAAGATAGCAAAATCCACATTCTGGACAGAGAGGAGCATTGGTTTGAAAGAGGGGTCAAAGAGGCCATTTTATCAACCTAAACTCCCCCCCCCAAAAAAAGAAAGAAAACTCCCCACAGGGTCAGTAAATTTGTTTGATACAGAGCTGCCACAGAAAAGAAAAATCACACTATCTCACGCAGAGAGATCATGTTCCAACAGATGTTCTATTGTTCACAAACTCTCCTTGTTGCAACTCCATCGTTACTATAATTTTATGCTTCCCCTTTTATTGATTCAATAAAAATAGTCACTTTTTATTTTTCTATTGTTTTGTAGTTATTTTACTCATATTGTAGAAGTTTAAATTGGCATTTGTTCTATGTAAGCTGTTGAGAGACTTTTCTGAGGATGGTGGAGAAATATGTTAAGTAAGAAGGCTCATCTTTCTTCACAATATAAAATAGTCTGAGAGGAAGATTAATCTGACATAGGTCTATGATTTCCAAATCTTGCTGAATTACATCTTTCAGTATCTCTCTCCATTGGTCATATTTGCTAGAGCTGAATGAAACTGATGTTCAACAGCACTTCAGAACCATGGTTTATCAGTCCCAATTACCCAAGTGTGGATATGAACATAGTCTCACCCTGAGTCCAACATATTAATTGCAACATTAGATTGATATTTAGATTGGTTTCCAATATGGTGGTGCACAAATAAAGCAAGTGAGAAAAAGTTATTCAAAAAAAATTAAGGTGTAAGAGAGAAGAAGAATATGAAAGGGAAGATTGCTTACATCATAGGCTCCAGCTTTGATCTGCTGATATAATCGGTGTTGATCCTCATCCCAGAAAGGAGGATAGCCAACCAGTAGAATATAGAGAATAACTCCTGTGTGTTCAGAGGGAACAGTGTTACATAAACTAGTGGAAAATAGTTGATTGACACAGAAGATCTGAATTGGCCTACACAGTGAGCAAGAGAAAAAAAAATAAGATGAGTCAAGAGCTAGGTATCTTCCTGTATTGTCAACATTGTCCCGATGTTTATATAAAATGGTTACTTCTTAACTGAAATGTCAAGGATTCAGGCATAAGTGTGAGCTCTTTGCAGTTCACTCTGAATCATCAGTATCATCATTTGCCTGACTGAAAACAAGACCAGCCATTCCTTATGAATTTTTTTAAAAATATCTCTAGCGTTGGCATTTCGCTGAATGATAGCAGTGGCTCCATTTATCCACCTGGTGGAAGGAATAATAGATATAGTTCTACAAATAGATACAGGTAGTCCTCAGCTTATGACCACAGTTGGCAGCAGAATTTCCAGTGCTAAGCAAGGTGGCTGTTAAGGGACTTGGGCCTGGTTTTACAACCTTTTACTATCTTTTTTTTTTTGCCATGGTTGTTAAGCAAAACACTGCTGTAGTTATGTGAATCACATGATTAGGTGAATGGTTTCACCCATTGACTTTACTTGTCAGAAGTCAACTGAGAAGGTTGCAAATGGCCATTACGTGAGCCTGGGATAGTCATAAATACATGCAGGTCTCCAAGTGTAGTAATCAGTGCTCAGTCATTGCAGGGTGCAAATATGGCTGACCGCCTTCGCAGCGTTTATTCTTTTTATACAGTTTTCCAAGCAGCAAAAGTTTAACATGGCAATAGCATAGCAATAGCATTTCATTGGTTAAACTCCTTACCAATCCTTAAGAAGAAAGCCAGAGGCCCAAAACAGGGAGCTGTTTGCTGCAACATCCTGTTGGTGTAAGCTAGCTGATATCAGGCAGGTAAGGTCATTGTACCAATCTGGGGTAGTTTCCCACATTGCCATGGTGATGTGAAGGGATGAGATAATGTAGAGAGAAGAGGCACGCAGGCTTTGGAGGGGCAGTTTGCTGCACATGACCTCTACCAGGTCCCCATCTCTACATCCAAGTGCCCAAAATTTGATTATGTGACTATGGGGATACTGCAATGGTCATAAGTGTGAGGACTGGTCATAAGTCTCTTTTTCAATGCCATTCTAATCTTGCAGGCTTACGAAAGAAATGGTTGTAAGTCATTAAACAAATGGTTGTAAGTCGAGGATTACCTGTAGCAGGTTTACTATCAATTTACTACTATCAATGGAGAATTCAAAGAATGTTTTAAAGTCTTTCAGCTTTAAGCATGTAGAGCCCATTGTTTGAGGCAAAACTGAATTGAACCTTTGAAAGCAATGATCTTCTGACACTGATCCTTATACTTTTTTGTAATAAGTATCCAAATGGGATTGGATATCAGTAGAGGAGGAATTTATCTCTGGTGCATAAGCTCTCAATGTACATACAAGCAATAAGTGATAAATCATGATCATAATCATAAAATGTAACCATCATAAATCATAAGATACAAACTCAACGATAATCATAGGATACTAAATAAAGGCAATCAACATAAATCATGAGATAGAAACAACAAAGTTATAATCATAAGAAGCTAAGGAAATAGGTAATAGGGAAAGATGAAAAGATGAAAAGGATAATCAACTCATTTTTTTAAAAAAAAATGTGCAGCATGAAAGCACTTAAATGTTTTTATTATGAATGGCATTGTTAAAAAAAGTGTTAAATTATGAATTGAATGAATTTTGTTCCTAGCATCTATCAGAATGGGAGGAAAATAACAAGGAACAATTCTCTGTTTGCTAAAATTTATTAAGAATAAGGTTGCAGTAAAAACACCAGACTTCTGGCAAATAAATTTGCTTTCAGATGTGGAACCTATTTATAGGTAATTTAAACCACTAAATTCTGGCTTCCTTCCTTGCTTCCTTTCAGTGTAACAGAAAGGAGGGCGATCCAGTCTGTCCTTATAATTTGCTTACATAATGGCTACATTAGGAATCTGAATATTTCCTCATAAACTAAGTTGTTTTGCTCCGCAATGGAAATAGGGCTGCTGGAATAAATTATTTGATTTTGACAAGGATTTATTACAATAAGTCAATGCTAGGAATCAGGAATAGTCACCCTGTGCTGGAGAAAGTGAGCCTTAATGGCCTCGTGAAGCATTAATGATGGTCTTCATCCAATATTTTAAAAGGGATCTGTGGGAGATCCAGAAAATTACAGCCCAGGCATGTTTAACATGTCCCAGACAAATTGGAAGAAACTATAATCAAACAAAAAACAAACTAAGCCCACAGAGGGATAAGGCTTGCTGAAGGAAAACCAGTGTGGATACTGAAGAGGTGATTCTGTTTCATGAATCATTTCAATCTTTTGCAAGGGCAATGGATGGTGGGATCAATATTGTATACCTAAGTTTCACAAGGCCTTGACAACATTCCTCATAAAAGGTTCTTGAGTTCCCTTTTCTCTTATGGGATTAGATAATCTGTCCTAGTATTTTTTATTAATTATGAGAAATCAAAGTGTAAAAACACATGAGCATTGTTTTCAATGGACAGAAGTTCTTCAAGGACCAGGGTGTTTTATCTTCTCCATACATTATTTTCGTTTAAAAGATAGCACTCAGTTGTAGAAGTTTGCAGATATTATCAAACTATTCTGATGCATGTTAGAGAGCAAAAAGTCTTAATGCCACACTTAAACTGATAGCGTCTGCATTGTCTATAACACAGGGCTTTTTAACCAGTGGTACGGGTACCACCTGTGGTACATTGGCACCTGGCAGTGGTACGTGGCCATCCTAGAAAAGTGGTAGTGGGGGAGGGGAATGAGCTGAACCTGTGACAACACCGCACAAACCTGAGTGAGAGCTGGAGCTGCAGGGCTGTCAGGGCTCAGCGGAAGCACCAAGATCAGTGCCACTTTCCGGCTAATTGGCACTTCTTTGGGGCTGTCAGGGCTCAGTGGAAGCACCAGGATCAGCGCCAGGCTCCAGCTGGAGCTCGGCGCTGATCCTGGTGCTTCTGCTGAGCCCTGAAGAAGCACCAATCAGCTGGAATGTTGCAGCATCTCCAGGGTCTTGTGATTTACATCCAGATGCTTGGCAACTGATTCATATTTATGATGGTCACAGTGTCACAGGGTCATGTGAAATGACCAAAACCTGCTGCAACCACCCAGCAGATGGTGGGAATAAAAACCAAATACCCCCCCCACCCCACCCCCATAGCCAATCCTCAACAGAAATGCTCACAATGATGAAAACCTTGAACAGAAGGAAGAGCGCCGCCGGGCAGGTAGGCTGTGGCTTGGGGGGCACTTTTTCAGTGCCATTGTAACTTCAAACAGTCAGTAAGTGAACCGTTGTAAGTCAAGGACTACCAGTACTTTATCACTTTTTTCCTTTTTTTTTTTGGGTCATCAAGTTTTTGACACCTTGCTAGGGGACTGGTGGTACTCGAATGTTGCCATATCCTAAAAGTGGCACAATGGGTGAAAAGGTTGAAAAGCCCTGCCTTAAGTTACTGTCTTCAGCATCCTTTGAAACATAGTCTCACTTACCACATGCCCAAAGGTCAACAGCTTTGCCATAGGGATCCTTCCGGAGCACTTCAGGAGAAAGGTAACCTGGAGTGCCTGCAAAACCTGTTAATTGTCAAAATAGATAGCTAATTACACTATTTGCCCCCAGGAGAATTAATAACTTTTCATTTAGAACAATTCTCCGTCTTGGGATTTCTTATTACATGATAAATATTAAGAGCTGAAATAACAGTGATAATTATCATCTCCTGAGCCTCTGGTTCTATTATGATGCACATATTATGGGAGCTGTTCTTCTAACTTCTACTCTGTTTGGATCCAATTTTATTGCTCCTGCTATTCTCAGATGCTTCCCAAACAGCCCTATTTTTCTCTCCCCTAAAGCTAAGACTGCAGGCAATCTATTTCCCCACTGGAGGGAACTCCTCCTCATCCTGGTTCTGAGTTCACTCTATGCAGTTCGCACCACCTCAGCAGAACCAGCAGCTAATTTTTTGTTGCCCAGGCCCAGAATGGACTTCTGGAAGCGGCATCCACATAGAGAACCGGTTGTTCACATATTTGAATCCCACCATTGATTTTATGAGATCTGTACTGGGAATGCTGGCTTGATTGCTTCCTATCTCTTCCTCAGTGTAACATGAAAGTGAAACGTTTTGTTAGTCTGCAAACAAAACAGCAGGCAGGCCTTGGTCTTGTCTTCCTTTGCTTTCTTCTGCTTTGGAATGGGAGGATATTTATTGCTGCAGGAGCTTTGGCAATGGAGCAATGATTTCACTCTTGATTCTCACAGCTGCAAGTCTCATTGATTGGAAGAGGATTACTAATCATCCTTCAATGTGCTTTGAGGGATTATGAAGCACAAGCAATGGCCAACTGAAAGCGCCTTGCATCCCATCCCTGGCCCATGTAGGCACACGCTATCAGATCAAATTGACTACAGCTCTGTGAAGTCTCAAAGCAATCATCTTTTCCAGCCTTGTTATTCAAGATCCTTCTGGGACTTTTTGAGTTGCAGAAGCATGTGCTGCATTAGTGTATTTGCAAAATGTATTTATGACTTAGAAATTATAAATGTATTCCCATAACAGCCTGTGTCTACAGCTCAAAGATACAATAGTAACAGACACTAGGATGACCTAATCAGCTTACAGTTATTGTGAGTTAATTAAACCCCAGCTACTACTCCATATTTATGTATGTCTGTACATACTTTCTCTCATCTGGAGTGGTAGCTGGCTTTAATATTATATAATATTACAGAGAGAGAGAGAGAGAGAGAGAGAGAGAGAGAGAGAGAGAGAGAGAGAGAGAGAGAGAGAGAGAGAGAGAGAGAGAGATCTCTAAATAAATGCCACTAGGGAAAGACTAATATGACCACAATGAACATATTAGTTTCTACAATCCATTTATATTAGGCTTTTTTAGTTAGTCTAAATCAGGGTAATTGGCTTTTTCAAAACAGAAACTCCATTGAAATAATTAGTTTTAGAATATAGCATATTTCAGCAATATGCAATTCTCATACATCTGACATATTGTAAATAATCACAACTCTCCAGACGTTTAATCCTTTAGCTTGACCTGGCAGAAGATGCTTAGGAATGACCTGGCCAGAATAAAGCTTTAAACACAGTAGCTGAATGACCCTCTCAGAGTAGAGAATACAGTTTTTTACACATATATAGTATACTTCAGTCTTGAAGCTGTTGGCTTCTTCCTCTGTGCTTTTCAAATTAACAGATACATGGTGGTTTGCTTGGGTGGCTGAGATATGGCTCTTCCCAGACAGGGAGGTGTTTATTCCTGGCTGGCTTCAGCCTTACACCAGTTTACTTTCTTTCTTTTTAATATAATTTCATTGAAAGTTTTAACAAACAATAAACATGAATATAAACTAAAACAGAGTAACAAAGAAAAAACAACCACCACCAGAGGAAAGTATTAATCTATCATTTTTAGAGGGTACCAGTTGTAGAAAAATACCAATTCACAGTAGTGCAGAATTAATGCCCTGCTTCGTTTTAACGAGAGAGTAAAATGTATTTTGCCCAATTACGCACATACCCAAACAAAATGGAACACCTGCAAGCCCAGTTTTCTTCTACTCACCAAACCAAGCCTGCTGTTCTCCTTCCACTTCAATAGCAAGACCAAAGTCAGCTAATTTAACAGCAGCTCCCTTCAGTTTGGAGGCCAGCAAGAGGTTCTCTGGCTTTAAGAGACAAAAAGAGAAAGGAACAATAAAAATGCAAAGAAGAAATGTCCCACTTTTCTCTAGTGGCTGAGATGCAAAAGTGTTATAATAAAATACTAAACTTTAACAGAGAAAATGCAATATTTTAATGAATAAAAATAGTTTAAGAAAAAATCAGCAAATGGAATTCAGAATAAAACTGAGAAATGCTTTGAGCTGAAACTGAAGTGAGAGAACATTGAAAGAAATACTGTAAAGCAGGGGTCCCCAACCCCCAGTCCACGGACTAGTATCGGGCCACGGCATACCAGCAACTGTCCCACACAAACAAGGAAAGCCCCATCCACAGGATGTAGGCAGCACACAAAACCACACCCCCTCCAGTCCATGGAAAAATCTCCCTCCACATAACGGGTTCCTGGTGCCCAAAATGTTGGGGACCTCTGCTGTAAATGCTTGTATGGAGTAAAATGTCAGAATAAAATTGAAATGGATACTAGTAACTTAGATTATGGCAATTTGCTCTACATGGGACTGGCGGTGAGTTTATTTATTTATTTATTTATTTATGAGACTTATATACCGCTTTAAGTGCAAGCACTCTCTAAGCGGTGTACACCAGTAAGCAATGTATATATATATATATATATATATATATATATATATATATATATATATATATTTACATTGCCCCCAACAATCTGGGTCCTCATTTTACCTACCCCGGAAGGATGGAAGGCTGAGTCAACCTTGAGTTGACCCAGAAGCTACAGCTGATAACAGAATGAAATTGCAAATTTACTGGCCATCAATGTTAATTGGTTCAATAGAACCACACCCACCTGGCAAAAGTTGCATTAGTTGCCAGTAAGCTTCTAAGTCCAACTCAAGGTGCTGATTGATATCTATAATGTACTTTTAAGTCTTAAACCCTCATTTCCTTTGGACAATCTAATTCAGGGGGAATCTGCCTGCCTCAAACAGTATATTTGGGAGAGAGCACTGTAGACTCCTGGCCCCTGAAGGTTGTTACTAAGAGGTCCATACCAGGGCTTTTCAACTGGTATGCGTACCACCTGTGGTACTTTGCCACATGGTAGGTGGTATGCAACCGTCCCAGAGAAGTGTAGTAGGGGAGAGGAATGAGATGAAGTGACCCAAGCCTGAGGGAGAGGCAGCTACAGCTGCAGGACTGCCTGGGCTCAGCAGAAGCCCCAAGAGCCGGCAGGGCTCCAGCTGATTGGCACTTCCAGAAGCAGCATGGAGCTGGAGATGAACTGAAGAAAAAGGGGGAGGGAGGGGAGGAGAAGCTATAAAAGGAGGTGGTTTGGGCGGGAAAGGGAAAAAAAGAGAACAGGGAAAGAGAAGGCGAGCTCAGCAGGCAGGGAGGAAACAGGGATAGGGAAGAAGCAGCAGCTGTTGCTGGAAGAAAAGTTCCCCTGGTTCGTTTTCTCCAGCCAGGAGAATGCAATCAGCGCTGAAGCCAGCAGACCAGCATGTTGAAAAGGAGGTGGATTTATTTAGTTCTGGATCACCTGGCAGCTTGATTGGGCTACCATGAGGATTTTTATACAGTTTTTACAGAGTTTTGTAATTCAGAGTCTCGGTTTGTGTGCTTTGATTATTGGAATATTTTAGTCTGTATTTTAGGCTAGCAATGAGTCCAAAGTCCATAGGTTTAATCCCTTTCAAAAATGTAATTAATTTTACTCCCTTATCTTGAGTCTATGGCGTTTAGAAAGTTTTCTTTGAAAGTAAACAGGCTTAATTTAAGGCTAAAGCTTTTTGCAATTGCCAGAGGCTTTCAGTCTCGGATTGCAACATTGTGACACGTGACACCTGAGGCAGCTTAAAGAAAAAAAAAACCCTGGAGTGTATGTGTTTCTTTATTTTGTGAGACTTTCTTGCTTTGCACTTGATGTCTGTGTCTTTAAGGGTACAGGGAAGGGATTGAGGTGTGTATGTATTTTTACTACCCTGAAAAGAGAGCTCAGAAGGGAAAGAGGAAGAAGGGCCAACCAGCTAGCTCAGGGGTCTACAAACTTAGCAGCTTCAACTCTCAGAATTCCTCAACCAGCCATGATGGCTGAGGAATTCTGGGAGTTGAAGTCCACAAGTCTTAAAAGTGCCAAGTTTGAAGACCCCTGAGCTAGCTGGTAGTGGTGCATACTAATAAACATGGATAAATTCATCATACATTTGTCAGTGCAAAGGGAAAGTGATTCAGCAAAGGAACAGCCACCGAAGAAATTAAAACTGGTACTTTTTTCCTTTTTTTCTATAATTTGTAATATTTTATTATATTATAGAATAAAATACAAAAATATAAAAGCAAATAGTAGGACCCAGTGGGGAGGAAAAAGGGGGGGAAAGTGAACAGACTTCCTCTGTGGTTCTCAACCTTTTTAATGCCGCGACCCCCAACCAGTCGTAAGTCGAGGACTACTCAACCAGTCGTAAGTCGAGGACTACTCAACTGGTGCAGCACCGTTTGCAGAATGGGACTTTTGGCAGGCTCAGCAGGGCAGAGATAGCCTGGACAATTCCTACTGGCTTTTGAAAGCCAATAGAATTAGACTCTATTCAAGAGAGTCTATTCTATTGGCTTTCAAAAGCCAATAGAATAAAAGGGAGTAGCATAGCTAAGGAAAAGGGGAAAAATGGTGGACTGCGTTGTTTGGCGACCCCCGTGAAATGCTCGTTCGACCCCAAATGGGGTCCCGACCCACAGGTTGAGAACCACTGAGTAGAAGGAAGCATTAACATTGAACCTCAACTTTTTACTTTTCTATAATGTTATAAACTAGCCATTTCTATACAAATAAATGAATCTAATCATTAAAAACCCAACCCCCCTTTTTTTTAATCATCAAGTTTTTGATATCTTGCTAACCACTGGTGGTACTCAAATATTGTCATGTCCTAAAAGTGATACAATCTGTGAAAAGGTTGAAAAGTCCTGGTCTATACAATGGCTTTTTCAGGAACAGCCTCCTCATTATGGAAAACATTGCTCTACTTAAGTCAGAGTGGCCTCCACCTTTTTAATGGGATGATGGCTAAAATACTTAAATTTTCACAGAAACTTTAGAATGGAAAACAGTAAGCAATTGCCTAAGGGTGTTTCTTTGTTTATTACCCACTGCAGTCCAGAGATTCCTGGCAGTTTATGTAAAGTATAAAGCCAAATAAAACATCAATCTAATTATAAAACAAAACAACTGTAGCCACACAGAAAGTTATAAATCAGTGGTTCTCAACCTGTGGGTCGGGACCCCATTTGGGGTCGAACGACCATTTCATGGGGGTCGCCAAACAATGCAGTCCGCCATTTTTTTCCCCTTTTCCTTAGCTGTGCTACTCTCTTTTATTCTATTGGCTTTTGAAAGCCAATAGAATAGACTCTCTTGAATAGAGTCTAATTCTATTGGCTTTCAAAAGCCAATAGGAATTGTCCAGGCTGTCTCTGCCCTGCTGAGCCCGCCAAAAGTCCCATTCTGCAAACGGTGCTGCACCAGTTGGGTAGTCCTCGACTTATGACCGGTTGAGTAGTCCTCAACTTATGACCGGTTGGGGGTCAAGGCATTAAAAAGGTTGAGAACCACTGCTATAAGTAATAAAAATAGAAAATGAAGACGTTTTGCTTAAATCAAGTGAAGACTCTCTGGAGCAACTTGGACTTTACAAGCTTTTGAAATGTTAGCAAAGAGGGGACTGGCCTTTTCTCAAAAGGGGGCTGTTACACAGGGTTGGTGCTGCCTTGGAAAAACAACATCTCCTCACTTGGATCTCCTGAAAATGTGGAACTAGTAGCAGTTCCTCTCTTTTTGATTGAATTGGTTGGGCTGTTACTGGTATGAGCAGGTGCTCCTGCAGATAGCCAGGTGCCAGGCCATAAAGGCTTAAATCAGCATTAATGTTCAAATTGCACATTAACAAGAGAAGATTTTTATTTCACAGAGGACACTTTCACTCTAGGTCTTGTGAAGGAAGTTTAACCAGAGGAATGCTTTTAAGTTCTTTCAATTTTACAATGTATAAATATTTTACCTTTAAATCCCGATGCACCACGCCCATCTGATGACAATGCAAAACAGCTTCCAGGATCTGCTGAATACAATGGCTAGGAAGAAGAAACATTGTCACATTATGTCATATTCCTCGTTATGGGTAATGGGCCGAGATAATCTTTCTCGGTGGTCTCCATTTCACTCCTTCTCTCATTTTCTATCTTCCTATGTGCTTTTCTGCCAAGAGCCAAGCAGAACAAGCCTTCATTACAATCTTAGCTTATTTAACAAAGAGAAATCTGACTGTATACTGAAAAGCCACCAGGGAATCTTTAGAGTTACTTGGGCTCTTTTCTGTAAGAAACAAACAAAAAGAACCTGGAGGATTTTTTATGGGGTGATAGTAAGAACAACCTGATCAATTTCTCACATAAATGATGACTTTAGATGACATGACCATCCCAAAAGGGCTACCATAACTGGGCTGCAAAACTCCAGATAACAATGAGATAGCAGCAAACTGGTCCCCGCTATTTGGTGTCATCTATTTCACTCATTAATATTTGGCAGATCTAATATGGTAGCCATAAAAATCATTTTGTTCATTTTGGTAGATCTCACCAGGGTTGCTAGATGAGTTATAAGCATCATGCAGGAGACCTAAAGACACAGGTGGCAGAACAGACAGAACAGCCACCTGTAAAATGAAATGACTCGATTCACAGATGCTAAAATGCAATTGGGTTTGAATTTCAAGCCTACAGCAAATTTGCATGCCTTGAATTGGATGCCTTTTACCTTCTGCAAGGAAATCTCATGGATTATCTTCCCTGTTAGACACAGACATCCTCTTGAGTTTGCTTTACAAATTGGAGGAAATATTTATCTCACAAAGGCCCAATCCCCACCTATGTCAGTATTCCATTGAATTTTAAACCATTAAATTTAAATTGGAAATTCAGATACAAATTAAGCACCATAAAAACAAAATGAACTGAAAAGGAAATGAAATTCATTATCCGTGAGATAGAAAGGCATAAATTATTCTTGATTATCTAAATCAAAAGGGAGCAGATCTTTGGCTTAGAGAATTCTCATTATTCAACAGAAGGCTGAAGACCACCAATCTCAGTTGCAATTTAGTTAAGGCGGGTTCACAGTTTGTGCCAAGCATCGTACAGGTTGGTTGAGTTCGTTTAGCATGTTGTGTAAACCTGATCTATTTTGTATAAATCATACTTTATAATGAATATGCCATGTGAACTCATTTAATAAACCATAGTACAGCATGATGTGTGAACCCCTGAATAATCTTGACCACAAGATGTTTTAATCACCTGCAACTATCTGAATCTCCATCAAACCTTCACCCACTTCTAATAAAAACAATATTTTTTCCCTTGTTTCGGTGAAGTCAAAGCTTGGAGACATACAGCATCACAGATTGCTGCTATTTTAAAAAAGAAAAAAATTAATAAAACTCTAGTATACTAATAGCTGAAATGTAGTTCTAACAGAAGAAACAGGCAGATCTAACAGAGCAAGGAGCTGAAAATAAATTTTATAAGTGAAAAAAGTGGTGTTTTCACCCTTCTGGCCTATCCATTTCACTTAGAAAATTCAGGAAACAGTTTTTCTAGACAAGTGTTTTTCAGCCTCAACAACTTTGGAATGTGTGGTCTTCAACTCCCAGAATTCCTCAATCTGCCTGCTAACAGGGGAATTCTGAGAGTTAAAATCTACCAATCTTAAAATTGCCAAAGTTGAAAAACATTGTCTTAGAGATACGTAATCATCTTCCAATACCTACCTGGCATCTGCTTCACTATAGTATTCTCTGGCAACAATGTCTTCAAACAGCTCCCCTCCAGTTACACTGAAAAGCAAGGAAAGGAGAATCAGCTTCCATTGATTGACAACACCAAATAATCGCATGTACTGTGTAAGGGCCTTGACCGAAATTTAGGTACCGTATTTTCTGGCGTATAAGACAACTGGGCATATAAGACGACCCCCGACTTTTGAGAAGATTTTCATGGTTTAGAAAGTCGTCTTATACGCCGGAAAATATGGTAAGTATCAGACAGTAAGAATTTGGTTGATGAAGGCTGAATGGTAGAGTGTAGCAGACTCATGCTATGCTCTCGATCTCATGATGACCCCTGTCAATCTTAATCTAACTGATGCCAGGTCTTACAGAGTATGATTATCGTGACCTAAATGCATAGTCATATGTATTTGGATTTGATTTTTTTTTTTACTTTCATGATTGATTTTTTTTTAACTTTAATGATTGACTGAAGGGAACAACATGTTATCATTGTTTTGTTCACAGATCTATACAGGCAGTCTTGGACTTACAACAGTTCATTCAGTGACCATTTAAAGTTACAACGGCACTGAAAAAAAAGTGACTTATGACCATGTTTTATACTTACGACTGTGGTAGCATCCCCAGGGTCATGTGATCAAAATTCAGATGCTTGGCAACTGACTCATATTTATGACGGTTGCATTGTCCTGAATGAATCTTGCGACCTTCTGACAAGCGGGTTCAATGGGGAAGCCAGATTCACTTTAACAGCCATGTTACTAACTTAAGAACTACAATGATTCACTTAACAACTGTGGCAAGAAAGGTCATAAAATGGGGCAAAACTCACTTAACAAATGTTTCACTTAGCAACAGAAATGTGGGGCCCAATTGTGCTCATAAATTAAGGACTGCCTGTAATTCCATAATAAACTAGCAACTATGAAAGGCGTATAGGTTTGAGAAAGCAGGGTACTAAGATAAAAATACACACCTGAAGGATATTGTAACTAGCCATATTTAGGGGTAAGATAGGTTGTAAGAATAGGAGCCTTTTAAAAAAAAGACTGCATGCCATGCTAGATTAGCAGATCTATTTTATTTGTATGCAAAGTTATGATTCATATACCAGCAACAAGGCTGTTCACAATAGCTTTACTTTCTAATCTGCCTGGATACTTTTTGAGATCACCAAAATGAAATTAAATAGGATTTTTTAAAAGTTAAAACTAGAAACTGCCTCAAGGGCAGGAGCTTTACTGGAAATGACTGAATATAATACATGTGCGCGACCATTAAAGGTGAATGAACATTAATTGAGTTTTCTGAATGCACTGAATAAAAACACTATGAAAAGTTAAAGCTTAGAAGGGTAATCACAGCTTGACATCATATTTGGATAAAGAATTGCAGCTGCTCAATCAAGGGAGATGAGGGGAGTACTTGGGTTCTTTAGAGCTGAGAGATTGGTGGCTGGGGTCAATCCATCCATCCATCAATCAATCTGGTCATTGACTAATTCAAAAAGAAGAGGAGAAATTCCGAGACAACAAATAAAAATTGTAATAAAACTAATGAGCCTTGAAGGTTGGACAGCCTTGGTAAAGGGCCTCCTGCTTGAGCAGGGGGTTGGACTAGAAGACCTCCAAGGTCCCTTCCAATTCTGTTATTCTGTTCTGTTAATGATAAAAATCCATGTTCTCGGTGTACCACATATTCTAGCAATATTAAAGCAAAATTTAGAGAAATAAAATTACGTTGGTATCACAAGAATAACTATAAATAGAAGGAAGCCAGGTTGCCTACAAATATGGGGAATTATTAGATGTAATCAGTGATCTTTGTAGTCAGGACATTATACCAGAACAAGGCAGGATGTATGTGTGAGAATGGATTCTCTTGGATATAGGCGAAAATCTCCACTGCTGGGAAAGAAGATGAATGTCTGTAGATTTAGTTTATTGTCAATGAACAGAGTTTGAAGAAGGACTATAATCCTAATTCATACATTTGTCACATATAACCTAATGTTTCTTTTATGCATGAGTGGGATTTCTACCAAGTATATATTTTGTTTTGTTTTATTTGCATAGTGTCTTGCCCATTTATGGAGAGGGCAATTGCCTTTCAGCACCACAAATTCTATACCCTGTTATCTGTGAGCAAGGTATTAGGTTTTTCATTCCCTAAGCCAGTTTTTCCCAACCTTGGCAACATGGCACTGAGTCATGGTGCTGCAGTGGTTAGAATTCAGTATCGCAAGCAAATTCTGCCCACAGTCTGGAGTTCAATCCTGACTGGCTCAAGGTTGATTCAAGCTTCTATCCTTTCGAGGTCAGATTGTGGGGGCAATATGCTGGCTCTGTAAACTGCTTAGAGAGGGCTGTAAAGCACTATGGAGCAGTATATAAGTCTAAGTGTTATTGCTATTGTTATTACAACATTTCACCGAAAATAAGAACTATCAGAAAATAACTCCTAGCTTGATTTTTACATGTGCACCTAATATAAGCCCTAGCCCCAAAATAAGCCCTAGTTTGGGGGCAAGGTGCACAAATAAAAATCATGGGATAGGAGGGTGGAGCTGCCTCACATGCCCTGTACCCACTTATCTTAGGACCTCTGCAGCCAGACCTCACACACCCCAACACCTATTATGCTACTGTGCAACTTCTTCTGCGGCCGGACAGCACATGGCTCATCACACCAGTGCCAACGCTCATGGCAGAAGGCTGTGTGGCACTTTACACCAGTACTGCTACTCGCAGCAGGAGACTGCGTGGTTTGTGGCACCAGTGCCAACAGGAGATCACGTGTTGCATTGTGCCAGTGTTGCTGCTCACATGAAGAGGTTGCATGGTGCATTGCACTGGTGCCACAGCTTGCAGCAGGAGGCTGTGTGGTGCGCTGTGCCGGTGCCACCACTCATGGCAGAGGCTGTGCTGTGGTGTGTGTGAGTGGTGGCACCAGCATGATGCATGAGTGTCAGCACCAGCACAAGCCACATGGCCTACCGTGAATGGCAGCACCAGCATGAAGCACCATGCGGCCTCCTGCTGCAAGTGAGGGCACCAGCATAATGAGCCATGTGACATCCTGCCATGAGTGGCAGCACTGGCACAATGAGCCACACAACCTGGCATGAACAGCGGCACCAGCACACAGCGCCACGTAGCCTCCTGTCATAAGTAGAAGCACTGGTGCAATGTGCCATGTGGTGTCCAGCTGCGAATGGCTGCTAGTGGCCACAGAAGATGTCGAGCAGTGATGCGACAGGTGTTGGGGCATGAGAGGCCTGGCTATGTCGGTCCTATGGTAAGCTGGTAAGACATCCTCCAAAAATAAGACCTGGTGCCTTTTTTGGAGGCAAAAAAATGTAAGTCCGGGTCTTATTTTTGGGGAAACATAGTAAGATGTGTAGTTTCAATTCCTAGAATTCCCCAGCCAGCATGAATCTTAAAGTTTACAAAGTGGTCTGTTTCATTGTATCATTGTAATCTTAAAACCTTGAACTATATGGCATCTATTCTTGGCTTACAAGGCCTCTATGTCTTCCTAGCATTTGCCACCTCAATGCTTCTTGCTTGTCTAATTGCATACCTTTTTGGAATTTTAGGACCCCATTTCCATCCCAGTCTTGCTTTTTATCTTGATTATGTGAATTTTACAGTAATGAATCTAAGCTGAAACAACAGGCAGGTTCTTATAAAAAACAGAGAGAACATTGCAAGAGCAGCTGGTTCTCCAGGGACTCCATGTTAAAGATGCTAATTTTTGCTCTAATAACTTTGAAGGACTGATCTGCATAAAAAGCAATGGCAATTCTATTAAAGCTGCATGCCTCATAAGGGGGCACTTAGATGCAATCATTTCCTGAGTTGATGAAAATTCCAGATGTTGCCATTCTCCATTTGGATCCGTCACAGATTTCCCTACCCCATTTTCCATCTTTTTTAACTATGGGAAATCCTCTGAGGAGTAAAGGATGGAATAGTTGCATTGTGTGTTTTTTATTAGCTACTGCAATTCTAATGTCTAAACCACTTAGTTACTACTTTCTGATCAGAATTGGGCACAAGCTATAGAGCCAAGGTATCTAAGAATGAGTGTCACCATCTCAAAGTAGAAACAGAGGATAGATTTTAAAAGGACTGAAGCTAATTTTGCCAGAGTGATTAGGTTGCCCATGATGTACATCACTTGACTCACAACTGATAGCCTGGGAAGTTGCAAACCCATCCCAGAAAAAGGCCACAGCAACCACTTCCATATCACTAGTAAGAAAACAGGCAGCCAAACTTGATTGAATAACATCTTTAGGGTACTTTATGGTTTCTCATCAAATGGGGGCTAATTTTTTTGTAGCACTAACCTGTTTTTCTGAAGATGATAAACAACAAAAAACAGTGTGTACACACCATATACAGCAAGAGACCCAATATGCAACATGGAATTCCCTGGAGAAAAGCACCCTACGGAAGATGAAGTAGGTATGCATGTTTATGGCTATATTCTTACTGTTCCATGGAACTCTCAACATGTATAGGAAAATGTTTGGACTTTCTGTAATTACTTACAGGTCAAATATCAAATAATGGTGTGCCTCTTCCGATATGCTGTCATGGAGTCTCACTGCAAAAATAAAAGAAACTTATTATTACTATTACTACTACTACTACTATTATTTTGTTTGTATAGTCAGCCAGTTGTTTACACTGGACTTGGCATTTTTGTCCATCTATTGAGTCCTTTCCAAGGACCTGGATAGGCTGATGTTGTTTGATGGCATTAAAAGATATTATCACAGGATGTAAGTTATTCCAAGTAAATCTGCCTTTTGCAATTGACAAATGGTCATTTTATCAATGCCAACTGGATTAAATGGAGCTCCAGATATTACTATATAATATTATTATTTCTTTATCCAATAATCAAAATTCTCTACAATTCTAGCAACAATTTACTCTTTCAGTTCTGTAGTTGAGTAAAACACTTCCTTGCTATAATATGAAAGTACAAGAACAGAAAATAAAACAATACTGAAATCCATCTTTTTCACGTTCTCAGTCATGCCTCCTCTTCAGTATTGCCAGCAGCTGAAACCCAAATAAATCTGGAGGATGCAGACACATAGATATTCTTATAGACCATGACTATATTGCAACATTTCCACAGGAAACATTGATGATATCAAACTGTGAAACTAATAGAATAGAATGTTTGGATGTCATACAATGGAGAAGAGCAGAAGGGAATATGAAATTAAGGGAAGCCAGGAAGCAGACTTGGGACCAATAAACAGGTATCTTCTATTTGTGCCCAGATGTGGATTGATGGGGTTACTGAGAATGGGGAACTTATTTGTTTCACTGAATATTCAATTCACTCATTCAGTTAGCTTATATTAGCCAAAAACATTTTTCAGATCTTTGTATTGTGTATTTAAAGTCATTGGAACATAAGTTGCATTGCATAAGTTGCAATGTTGCTTTACCATTGCTCACAGCCTGGTTCAGAGAAAATATACACCTTGATACATAATATTATTTTAAACTAAAGTAGGAAAATATTTATTGCTTCTAAGTTGACATAAAATAGTCAACCGGCCATTGCTTGAATTCTTAGCCGAGTCATGTATGTGGTATAGCCTAGAAAATTTTCCTTGAATTAACTATTAAAAAATGTTGCAATTTAAGTGTTAGTTCAAATTCAGGAGAAATCATTAATGTACATCAGAGATATGTGAAAACATTTTAATGTTATTTAAGACAGGGGGATATTTAATATATTTCCATGTATATTCACTTTGTAGGTTTTAATTCAGTAGATACATTTTAAGGTACTGTGATTATATGGAACTCAATCACACAAAAGCATTGCATATCTGAAACTTCACCTTGCTCAGAGAATTGGCAATGGATTGTAATTGCAATTTTCAGAAAAATTAATCTGGAAATCACTATAGTTTATCCAGTTTCCTTTGTTTAGTAACATATTGGATCAGGATGAAAATTGAATAATATCATGTCTAAGAAACTCCCCATCTTCCAAATAGAAATTGAGGAGACTCTGAGAAGTACTGTAATCAGGTTTAGAATAGGATAAAAATGTTTTACTCAAACTTCAGAAAGTTATCCTTGGAATTCAACAATGAAAGATCAAACAGACGCTTTCTACTCAACCAATAGCTAATGTAATTTGCCTGGCAGGATATCTCAACTTTAAAAGAAATCTTACTATCAGAGCATTTTAGCAGGCAGGATGTCTATAGCTATGTGGCTTAATTTGATATTCTCACACAAATTCTTGTGGACACTAGTTATCAAGTCAATCTTCCACCCCACACCCCATCTGGAGGTGGCTTCCATGTCCAAAGTGATACTCTCTTTACTTCTGCTGCAGCTCTGAACAAAAGCAGAAGCAAAATGTGGAGCATACCAGGGCATACAATCAGTGTGGCTAATATATTAAAAACATCCAAAAATCCTCCCTCCCCCATCTTTTTCATCATTAAAATGACCATAGGATTTGTCTTTTCCCATCACAAGAATAGTCTAGTGAAAAATACACAAAGAAGAAAAAAAATATTTATTACAAGAAATTTAAAGTTCATGGTGTTATGTCCTGGGCCTGCTGAGTGACTCAGCAGGTGCAGGAAGCTGCAGAAAGGCCCGGGCAGACCATGTGAATGCCCGGGACCAGACAGGCTGTCTCCCGCCTTGCGCGCATGCGCAAGGCAGGAAAAATCCTTGCATTGATTGACTGATACTGTCCCTGCAAAGGGGTATAAGAGCAATCCATGCCATTTTGTTTTTGGTTCTGTTGGTGAATTGAATAAAGACAAGAATGTTGTTACTCCTGCCTCATCTCCATGCCTTTGCGATCGAAACAGAACACATAGAGTTTTTTAAAAGAAATTAATTATTATTATAAGAGTTTGCACTATTATAAGAGTTTGCACTAATGAACAGTCCATTCTTTAGGAAGCTGCTAGGCTAGCTCTATAGATTTACAACACCTGAAAAGATAATATGTATTTCAGTTCTGATTTAATTTTGGTATGTTTTAGAATTACTTCATATTTCTGAATCATTGCAGATTATGCTAGTGGAACATGACTAAAAACAGCCAAACTAAATTTTGGATTTGATATAAGTTTGTGAGAAATCTAAATATTATTGAAATTTTAATCATAACATTTGCATAACCTTTTGAAAATATCCTGTTCCTATCTATTCTGTGCTATGGCTAGAAAAGCAAACACAATTCTCCCTTGAGACAGGTTCAGCTTGTGACAACCTAGGCAGACACATCTATGAAGCTTTCATAATAGCAGAAGGGGCCTGGTTGCCACTTCTTCCTCCAAGATATTTTCTGACGTATCAGTCGTGTGTGTGTGTGTGTGTGTGTGTGTGTGTGTGTGTGTGTATGTGTGTGTGTGTGTATCTATCTATATCTGTGTCATCTGTATCCATATCTACCTCTATCTCTACCTCTACCTCTATCTCTACCTCTGTCTTTATCTCTGTCTACATCCACATCCACATCTACATCTATATATCTATACCTATCTACACACACACACACGCACACATACAATTTAGGGTTGTCCCATCAAAGTATTCCAGTTTATCCTTTAGTCCATGTTTAAGCAAGAACCATTTCCAAAAGAAAGACAAAGCCAATCATTTCTAATAGAAAAGACTAGGAGGATCCCAAAAGCATCCAAAAATATGGATATGACTCTATGTGTAGATGACAGCTTAACCTAACTTCTTTAACTTGATACCCTTTAGTTGGTCAAAATTCTAACCAACATATACAGGTGAGAATATATCAATTGAACAAAATACAAATAGAAATTAACATTGCAATTTACCCAAGCCAGGAAATAATGGAAATGTATTTAAGTTATTGTTGATTTTGAAACTATAACTTGTCTATTGCTCAGGTTTATTAATAATTTTAATATGATCACTAAATGATCACTCCACTATAAAACTAAAAAACAATAACTAAAGTAAAATAACAATAACTAGAGTAAAATAACAATAACTAGAGTAAAATAACAATAACTAAATAACAATAACTAGAGTAAAGCTGATCCCAGTAGTTCCTAATAAATGCAAAGGTTTCAGAATCACAAGATCTCAAAATCTTGGTCTCAAACACATTAAGCTTAACACTACTTTGCACTAAAAATTGATTCACAGTACCACTAATGCATTTTTAAATTATTCTTTTAGGGTTTCATAATCTAAGCAATTATGTTCTGTCTTTGAAAGTTCTAAATGTTAATAGCAGAAAATCTTTCTTAAAAATGTTTGGTTTTCCATTTCAGTTCAAAATATTCTTCATACAGATGGGAATTACCGGGGTAGAGAGCTATCCTTTTAGATTTTTGATGAAATTGGTTTGGCCCCCATTAGAAATTGAAAGAAAAATGGGTTAGTAAGTGTAAGACACGTTCTGGTGAAACATGTAAATCTTCTTGAAGACCACCAGGGCTATGCTATTACAGGTTGGCATACTTCAGCATGTATGGACACCAGTTTATCTGGAAATGGAAAGTTAAGAATACAAATTGTTATCCATTCAAATTGTGTCTCTGTTACTAGGTAAGCTGCTGTACTTTGCTCTCAGTTATTTTCATGTTTTAAAATGTTGGCAGACTATGTCTTTCAATGAAAAGGACTTTCCTCTTTGCTTGCTTGCTTCTCTTCTCAAAGGAGAAGGAGAAGGGCTTCTTTGGAGCAGATGGCAGGGCATAGCAATCCAGAGTGTAGTGCATGTGTCTAAAAAATAAGAAAAACATATAAAAAACAAGAAAAAAGTCAAGTAAAAGATGGAAGAAAATGGCAAGAAGGTGAGGAGGATCCAGGAGAAAGCAGAACTGCTTAACTCATTTTTTGCATCTGTCTTTACCCAAAAGGAAATAAAAAGGCTAATTTATTAAAAACCCTACTGTAAAATGCAGATTAGGAATGCAGGTCAAAATAAGCAAGAAAATGGTAAAACAACACCTACATCCACTCTAGATTAGTTTAAATCACCAAGACAAGATGGATTATACCCCAGGGTTCTAAGGGAACTGAAAGATGTGGTCTCAGAACCACTGAACTATATCTTTCAAAGATCCTGCAGCACTGGGTAACTACCAGATGACTGGAAAAGGACTGATGTGGAAAAAAAATGGATCCAGGAAAATACAGATCCATCCACCTGACATCAATACTTGGCAAGACTCTGGAAAAGATAATCAAGCAACAAATCTGCAAACAGTAGAGGCAAGCAAAGTCATAACCAGAAGCCAACAGGGGTTTGTCAAGAACAGATCACGCCAGACAAATCTTATTGCATTCTTTGACAGAGTGACAAAATTAGTGCACTGGCGAAATGTTGCTGATATAATATACTTAGACTTCAGTAAAGCATTTGATAAAGTAGACCACAACCCATTATCTGATAAGATAGAAAAATGTGGGATAAACAGCATCACCACCAGATGGACTCGTAACTGGCTGACCAATTGCACTCAATGTGTAGTCCTTAATGGAACTGAGTCAATATGGAGGAACATATGGAGTGGGGTACCTCAAAATTATTTCTAAGTCCCAGTCTTTTCAATATCT